AAGAGAGGATGGAAGAAGGAAAATAGAGGCGCCTAGAACGAAAATTAACTACTACGCACAATTCAACACAAGGGAAGGAGAAATTACTAAGGAAAAGAGAGGAATCGCGCTAGTACATGACAAGGAAGGAAATTTAGCCGACAAAGGCCAGGAAGGATATTCAATAAGGAAGACATTGATTACAGAGAAAGAAAGAAGAAAGGAATTTATATCAAGACTGTTGGCTGCAGCGGACAGGGACTGGGATTTGAAATCCCTTTTGGATCAAGCTCTGGATGAGACCAGACGAGAGGAAGGTTATGATGGAGATCAGACGAGCAGTGAGCAAGACAAGAAACAGCATCAGAAGGGTATCCAGCAGGATAGAAATAGGATATACATGGAAGAAAGAAAATATAGAGAGAATAGAATAGTAGAGAATATGAGAACAGAATTTTTGGAAGAGCAACGAATAGATTGATATTATAAGCACAAAAGATAATATTAGAACTACGACAAGAAAAGTACTTGGATAGTTTAAGTTAGAATAGTACAAAGAGTAGAAAGTAGCAAGAGATATAAGGTAAGGGAACATATTTTTCTATAGAAGGTTTCAAGGTACAGAGACAAGGAACGAATTAATTCAGGTATAATAGATACATTATAGTACTTATGTTAAAATTTTTTATATAAAACCCAAGTCTTAGATTAAGATTTGATTATCGTTTTTTTTTTTTGATAGTTCGATATAAGTTTAGCAAGATTTTGGTTATGCATAAATTGTAATAGTCAATGTTAAGTTAATATTAGATATCAAGATTGACAAGAAGAAAAGTTGATAGTTCAAGATTTTTATGTTTCTCAGTATTAGTAGTATTACAGGTAACTTATAAGATTGAAGCAGGAATATCTGAATCGGGTTATATTATATTGTAATAGATTAACTACGTAACAGTAAAATTGATTTAAGCTTTAGCTATAAGAAAGGATACATACTCTTAAGACTTATAAATAGTTGTAAGGCATTTACCTCAATAGGATAATATAAGCTCGGGTGCAATACATAAGCTCTTTGTATTTTTAGTTTTGTTTTTGTTTGCTTTTTATTTTTTGTTTTACAAGAAAGGCTACTGCGAAAACTTTTGTTATCTCTATAATAAATTCTTTTATAAAAGTACCTCTTTATTTTATTTTATCTTATTTGATATATACACAACGGCCTCAGTCACAATATTATTATGGAATTGTAGAGGATTAGAAATAAAAAAGAAGAATTGGCCATGAGAATAAGAGATTACAACATCGCGGTTATAACTGAAATTAAACTGCCAAAAAATGTCCCAATTTACTTTTCAGGATATAAAACATATCGATCGAATAATCTTAATAGCAAGGGAGGAATAGCCATTGTGATTCACAACAGACTAGAGTTCGAGATTCTAAAGTGTCAGGAGGATATCCACGGGACAGTTGAAAAGATAGATATTACGGTGAAGAATGTTTTAGGAAAAATTAACATAGTTGCGGTATACAGGAGACTAGGAACTAGATTGGATCCACATGGCGGAAAATACTCACTAACAATGGAAATACACATATAATGTTATTAATAAAACATATTATGTTGGAGACTTTAACGCACATAATACTCTATGGAACTGTGGAGATACAGATAGAAATGGATACAGATAAAAATATGAGCGAGGTGATGAATGAAAAGGATTTGGTATGTTATAACGAAGATACAAAATCCAGAATGGGAATGGCAGATCAAATCTCTAACAATCTAGACTTAATACTAGGACCACCGGAGGACCTAGACAATATAAGAACATACCAATTGCAGGATTCGTGGGGGTCGGACCACTATCCAATAATAATGGAGATGGACTTTGAAATCACAAATTACATCAAAAAAACAAACAGAATTTCATCAAGAAAAACGAAATGGGAAGATTATGGAAGAAAGGCTACAGAAATCTGGGAAAAGTCAAGGAGAGAGTTAAGGTTAGGTTCAGGCGATAGGGACATACGGGTAAGATATAATTTATTATGTGAAAGCATGAAAATGGCTATAGAAGAGATCACCCCAAGGAGAAGAGGCAAGGAGAAAGGATACATAAATAACAGAATAGAAAGAAACAGATTCCTTCCAGCTAAATGGTGGGATGGGAAATGTGAAGAAACGATAAGAAATAGAAAGGAAGCATAGAAGAGGTTTATTAGAGAGGGAACTATGCATGCATACATCGAATATAAGAGATGCAGAGCTATTGCGAGAAAAGTGGTCAAAACAAAAAAGTCACAAGACTTCGAATTATTCTGTAAATCAATAAACAAGAATATAAGTATGGCTTATGTATGGAACACGATGAGGATATTCAAGAATTGTAGGGCAAAGATAGAATGGAATAAATGGAAAAGTAAGAACAGAGAGGAATGTATAAGGGAAATGATAGAAAAGCTTGCTCCCCCGTCTGTGGAAAACCCACCGATGGAAATTGGAGAGGAACAGGAGGAGAGACAAGGATGGAAGGAAAGATTCACAATAGCGGAATGGAAAAGAGCATTAGGCATGATAAGAAAAAATACATCACCGGGAAGAGATGGTATCGAGTATGACATGATCAAATTATTATCAAACAGGATGCAGCAAGAAATGCTGACGGTACTTAATGGAATATGGAAGGGGAATGTGCTACCAAGAAGCTGGCAGGAATATCAAGTGATCTTCATAGATAAATCAGGGCAGAAAAAAGTCAGGCCGATAGCTTTGGCGTCCTGCATGTGTAAAGTCATGGAAAGGATGGTAAATGAGAGATTGGTATGGTGGGCAGAGAAGAATAACTTAATAGCCAGGGATCAAAACGGATTCAGGAGAGGAAAGTCTTGTGCGGATAACCTGACCCAAATCACTATGGACATCAAGAATGGATTCTTTAGAGGGGAATACACTACAGCGCTATTCGTGGATGTAACTGCGGCCTATGATAATGTAGATTTAAACATCCTTATCGAGAAATTAGAGGAGATCGGATGCCCCAAAGATATAGTAAGATTTGTGTACGTGTGGAGCAGGGTCAGATACACCCAGTTTATTGTGGCTGGGGAGAAGACTGTGGAGAGAAGGCAAAGGCCTGCCGCAGGGGGCTGTGTTGAGCCCCTTACTCTATTCTTTGTACACGAGGAAAATCACTGAGGAGTTAGGAGGGGGGATACGCACAGTTCAATTTGCGGACGATATTGCTTTATATACCACAAGTTTATATAGAGAGGCAAATACTTTCGCAATACAAGATGCGGCGGAATGTTTGGCGAAAAGATTGGAGGCACTAGGATTGGAATTAGAACCTAGAAAAACTGTTCTGGTGGAATTTAATAAGTATGGTGTACGAGATAAAAGAGTGAAGATAAGACTAGGAGAGGTTGATATACAGAATAGTGCAGGGACAAGATTCCTTGCGTTATGGTTTGACAATAAGATTAATTTTCACCATCAGATTGATCTGGTTAGAAATAAGGTTAAGAAGGCGAACGGGATAATGAAGTATCTGAATAAAAAGAAAAGAGGTATGGAAGTTAACACGGCGTTGCTGCTTTACAAAAGTATTGTGAAGTCAGTTACGGATTATGGACTATTTATATACTTCCTCAGGGAACCCAACCAAAGATTATTAATGGAAAGGACTCAGTATGCAGGACTTAGGACAGCATTAGGCTACAGAAATAGTACACCGAATAACGTAATTATAGCGGAATCGAAAGTTATGTTGCTACAGGATAGGGCAGAAATGCTAGCGAGGAATTTTCTCTTGAAAATTCCTCTATGATATATGGAGATGAAGAGATGAGACTAAGAATAGATCAATTAGAAGCAAATGAAAACTATGAACGATATATCAGACCTACGTCGAACAAAAGCTGCCTGGTAAATGCTTGGTCGAGGATAAAATGGTTAAAGAAGCATACGGGAGAAAGAAGAAAATTTAAAATTTTCGAGTCGGGTTACGAGGAAATTACGGAAAAAATGGAGATCGATAAATATACAGCGAGGCAATGGAAAAAGAAACTCCACACAGATGAACAGCTGATCGAAACCATTATAGAAAATAACAAGATCAGAGGCATGATCAAAGTAATGTACACGGACAGCTCCAGAGGTAAATCGAGCAAATCTACAGGAGTGGGACTGGTTATAGAAGAACAAGAAACAGCGTATAGTATAAGCCTACCAAAAAATGATCTTTCACAGCAGAAGCATTTGCAGTTAAAACAATGTTAGAATTAATCTATCAAGAAAAAATAGAGGATAGTCAAAACTATTTAATACTTACTGACTCACTATCGACCATACAAGCCCTGGAGAATAATTTACTCCAGGTATATAAAAATATGTATATTGTAAAAACCAGAGCTCTATATAGGAAAATTGTGAACAGCAGGAAATATAGGATAATTATAGGATGGGTCTCTGCGCACGTAGGGATTACGGGTAATAAAATAGCAGATAAATTGGCGAAAGAGGCCTCTCAGGAACCCCCCGCGGAGGAAATTAAGGTCCCGTATAGTGATTTTAGAAACATTTTTAAACGAGAACTCTGGAACAGTACACTAAATAAGATTATAAAAAATGCAGAGTATAAAGGAAAATTCTATTTTGAGAATTTCTATAAAAGAAAAAGAAGAAAACTGTGGTTCAGTAATACTAACGAGGAAAGGTATCTTATAATGTGGATTAATAGAATCAAGTCAAATCATTATAATTTGAATGAGTCACTGGCTAGGAAAGGGTATATAGAGGACGCTAGGTGCGATTGCGGAAATGAGTGCGAAAACCTGGAGCGTGTGATATGGAAGTGTGTGAGGTATGACGAGGAGAGAGAGGGGATGGACTTGGAGCTGAGGAGTATGGGGGTGAGA